CTAGCTCTCTGAAGTATCTGGAGGGTCTCTGCCTCACGACTCTAAAGAGCTTTTCCTACCTTTCCTCTCAAAGCTCAGGAGACTATCACTTCTCTACCATTGCATTGTTTGGAAGTCTTCCAGTATCTCCAGGCATGTTCTTATGTCCACATCTCTACACACCTCTTCATGTATTCTGGGCACTTAAATCCTATTGGAATGCATTTGTCCTTTCTCATCCACTGTGTGCATTCCCTGTGTAGTGCTTATGTCTTTGAGTGATCTGTAAGGCATATCTGAAAGTTAGAAAGAAAGAAAGAAGGACATGAGGTTTGTTAACTACTGCTAAACATCTCAAATGTGTCCTGACTTGCTGCTGATTATGAACAGAATGACAAATCAAGCCAACAGCACAGGTCATTTGAGGCCAGAACTTCACTGGAGTAAAATCAGCATAGATCTATTGAATTCATGAAAGTTGAGGCAATTTCCACTGCTTTCAGTCTCTGAGATATCCAACAGCAGACAAGCTAGAATAAAGAGATGGCATTTTATATAGCCTCTTTCGAACACATCTTCTTTCTCTCTCCTGTGTGCTTTAAGGAACTGAAAAAAATTTCCTTATTTTAGCAGTGTGGACTGCAAGGCACACAGTCCTTTTAAGGCCATTAGAAAAAACAGTCAGTCACCATCCAACAGGTGACAACATACAGATAATCCTAGCCACCCCCCTGATGCTTAACATATTACTTTTCAGTTGTCTTATTTTAAACTTGCATTCCTCCAGGGATTACTATCTATCTGTCTAGGCCTATCTAAGTATCTGTCTAACTCACTGACTTTCAAGGGTATCACTCTAGCAGTCCAAGTTAACTTCTCTCAGAAGAAGGAAGAAGAAATAATCTCTTCATTTTCTTGGCTTCCTAAGCAGCAAGGGAAAATAATTCCCTGCAAACTTGCATGATCTGTAGCATGGCAAACTGTTTTTTTCAATGAAATTGTAACAAATAGACTTTGGGTGGGTGTTATGAGGTCCAAGTCCTTTCTGTACACTGAGGCAGGACCAATTCTCTATAACTCTTTCTTATGTGGCAATTCCTACCGAGTCAGTGTGGGCCTGTCAATGGAAACAAGCCTAGCAATTTTTTTCTCAGTTGATAGTAGTGCTCAAATTGATTTTTACTTTTGGTTTCCAATGCACCACTGATCATATAATAGATACTGAGAGAGTTGTCAATTGCAGCTGATTGTACTTAGTTGATTGCTGCTCTCTGAGCTGAGTGCAGTGCCCACTGTGTGCACGACTTCTCATTTAAAAGGGCAGGACCAGAACATTTAGATTTACAGCTGGAGGAGCCTTTGGGCACAGGATAGGAAGGCAGTGGCCTGAGATTTGCAGTAGCTTTAGGCTGGTTTTGGAATTAGTGGATGATAATGGCACTTTCAGAGCTGAACATCATTGTGGTGCTTTCACCATTCCGAGAGCTGATACTTTGCATCACTGCTAGTGCTGTATTTCTGGAATTGGTCTCAGTCTATGACATGCCAAGAATCCCTGTGTTACAAAACATAACCTCTTGTTTTCCTTTCCTGTGCAGGAAAATTCCTTGGATTAACATCTATGCCCAAGTTCAGCATGACAAGGAGCAGGAAATGATTGGCTCTGTCAGCCAAAGTGAAAACACCCCCAAAATTACTCTGAGTGAGTTCACAGACCCTGAGGAGCTGATGGACAAAGAGCTGGACACACGAGTGATGGGTGAGAGACAGCCCTCAACTGGGGCTTGTTTGGTAGTCTGGATGAGGATGTTGGTCACTCAGGCATTAGGAGAGGCAGTGACTTTGACCCCAAGTATAAGGAGAGCCTGAGAGAGAAATAGGGAGCAAATCTCTTTTTGCAACATGGTAACAGGGAGCTTTTCTTACAATTTTTCAGCTTTTCTCACAGTGTTACATGACCAGGGCAGGAACCTGGAAACAGCAATAGGTATACAAGAGTTAGTAATGGCTGTGGCTCATGCCTATGCCTGCTCATGACTGTGTCTCTCCAGTGGAGAGATCCTAAATTCCCTGAACCCTCAGAAGAATCAGCTGAGCCAAGTTTACACTGTTGGTGTGCTATCATTACAAATGAATACGTCCCTAATAGCTTAATGCATTTACTGCTGATCAACTGAGCTGCAGTAACAGGTTGTCTGCATGCTCCATGCTTATTGCAAATACAGAAAAGGATGTGTTACTTTTAAGCACCTTTTCTGTCTTTACACTTACACAAGCACATACTAAGAAGGAGTGAGAAGCAATATAGTCCAAACTTTTGAAGCCACTACACTGACTCTCTTCTCTATTTTCTCCTCCACAGGAAGCATCTCAACAATTGCCAACAGTGAAAGCACAAAGGAAATCCCCAACTGCACTAGTGTTTAATACTGAGAACCCACTTGGTCTCCAACATTTCTGACTTTTTATTTGTAATTATTATTGTTATAATTATTATTATGAAAAAAGAGAGTTATATGTCATTATTATAATTTGGGAAGGGATGGGTGGGCTTTTTCTGTTTACCAGGGCTGCATTCATAAATAGAAAGGGTTCTTCATATTTAGGAAATACTCATCAGATTAGAAAGAAAAAGAAAAGAATGAGTCAAATGTGCAAGGGGATTTGAATGCCAGCCTCTTGTTAAGTACAGAGTGGGAATTTAGTATTCAAATCCAACAGATATGTATAGTACCTTAGGCAACACGTTGCAGGTAAATTGTCCCTTTTCAGCCCTTTTCAAAAGAAGTCATGAATTAGTTACTTCATCCTGCCAGCGGGCTCAGGCTGGGTTGTTGGACCAGGCTCTGCAACATGCCAACAGCCCTCGCTTTCCAATGACATGCATGTCTCAGCTTTTTGCAGGAACTTGCCTCTTTTAATTGCTTTTAATTTCAGTCACCCTCTGGCACTGCTGACTACTGAGAAAGGAAAAAAAAAAAGCAGAGCAAACACACACATCGGTGTTCCTTGGACTGTAGATTGGCTGGAGGGGACAGCACCACAAGCGATGAAGCAGCATGCCTGAGTTTATGAATGCAGCCCAAATCCCGTGCATGTGAATAGCGAGGATGCCGAAGGCCAACTGTAGATAATTACAATGTACATAGCTTTTTATTTCTTGGGAAATAATTTAATGTTTAGTAAAAGAAGATATGTTTAAAACAGAACCTGAACCACGTACACACATGCACGCACACGCACGCGCGTGCACTCGCATCCCTGCGTGTGCTCATACACGCCAGCCAGCCAGGGACCGTGGTGAGCACTTGAATCACACTTTGGTTCCAAGCGTGTTCCAGTTGTCTGTCATATTTCAGTCTGACACTACTGTGTACAAACAGCACAGTTTATTTCTCTGTGTATAACTGCAAGCCTTTTTTTTATATAGAGAGAGTATCATTTCCTATGATGGAGCAGAAGATGATACTAGCAGGACAGACTATGAGCCTGTCATGAATATTTTAATGATGTTCATAGTCTATTCACCTCTGTCACCGTTGTGCGTTTCTGAGAAAGATGATCTTGGTGATATCCATTAGGGAAAATGAGGAAAACAAATGTGAAAGTATCACCATCTCAGTGTGGACAAATATCAGTGTCCTTGCAGTACCCAGGACAACCTCAACTCAGCAGTGGGCAAAGCTGCACTAGCTTTATTCTCAGTGAGAAATAATGCTTTTAGCAGTTAAGCCCGTGAGGTAAAGTGCTATTCAGGATGTGTAAGAGTAGTAAATTTTGGCTGAACATGATACATGTGATTAGAGACTGCTTTTTGAAGGGGGAGAATGCAGGGTCAGACCTGCGTAACTGAGTGAAGAAAGATCTTTTCTTATGAGTGCTGCAGAATGACTGCTTCCAATTTTAGATGGAAATGCCATCAGAGTAATTTCTGCATGGTGGTCTGGTGTTTTGTGATTAGAATGGGGGGGGGTTAATGAAGAAAAGGTAGTGAAAAAGCTCTTTAGGAATCTTCCAGCACACTGAGTTGAGGATAGGCCCTAGGAATGATGGAGTTTTGGGGCAGGAGTTTGAATTAGTAGTGAGTTACTTTTATCCATTTTTCTTGATGATGTTAAAAATGGACCTTATTCTGCAGAGTATTGAGTTTTAAGACCCATCAGGAGTGGAAGGAAGATTGGAGGCACATTTGGGAAGATGTTCTACTGCTTGCGTGGTAGCAGGAGGCAGAAATGAGGCTAGGTGACAATGTTTGTTACCATTTTTTTTGGATGTGAATACAGGACTCCACAGCACCTTTAATATATCTGGGCTGAAATGAGGAGATGGCTAGAATTCAGGTGTTACTTGCTACCTCTCTGCTTTGCAACATGCCAGTTGGCTACAAACCAGCCTCAGCTACGTGTGTTCACTCTGTTAATGGGCTGGAATGTCTTTCAAAGGTTGTAATCCTGATGGGTCTGCAAGTGGAGAAAAAGGTGGTTAAACACAGTTTTGCAGAAAAACACAGAAGGTATGTCAGGATTAAAACTGTAAAACCAAAATGTAGGGAAATACTGTTTTGTGTGAAGTCCTAAAGCTAAATATTCTCAATTCTTCAGCTCTTCCATTTCAGTCAGGCTAACGGGCCTTTTCTGTTGATTTGAAAATAAGTCTTTTCTATTCCTTCCCTCACTTTTCTGCTCCAGTTCCTAATATAAGCCGGAGCGCAATGGCTGTGTTATTCTATTTAACCTTGACTTTCCATCTATCGCATGTGCCTAAACTGTGGCGTCACTGTCTCTGTTCTACTGAAACACCAAAGTAGCTTACAGTAATGGCCCAGTCTGGTGATAACACTTCCCGCAAGGCCATAGCTTCCCATTTAGGTATAGATGGGAGGGATGTATGTAAACAACGGTCCTGTGGGCCTTGAGCTAAATTGTGGGCAGATCTCAGTCCTTGCTCATCATTAGGATTTGAGGGACTGCTTTTGTCCCTCTGCAGAGAACAGAATGTGAAATACTCACTATTTTCCATGTCAGCTCTTTCTTTTACAAACCAGAAAATGTGAAATTGTTCATTGTTTCAAAAGTGAAAATGTTCGTTGTTGTTTGGAGTTTCCTATTTTTTTCCACAGGATTGATCTCACACTGATTTAAAAAGAAAGGCATGGAATTACAGTTTTCACAATTTCTTTTCACAATTTTTTACATTTTTTTTTACAATTTTTTCCCTTTACACTCTTAAAGATGGTTGTTCTATATCTCATAACGTATGAGAGGAAGTAAGGAGGAAAAATTGAGACTAAACTGCTGAAAAAAATGGAAACATTTTCACTTCTCAAAAAGAAATTTAATCTCAGTGAAGGCTGAGAAGTTTCTGAACAATACAGTTAATTTTTTGAGAAACATCTGTCTAGAAAGCCATTTTCAATCCAAAATTATCTTAAAGACACTACAAAGCAAACAAACAAAATTAATGGAGCCAAAATTAAATGTCAAAAAAACTGCCTGATTCTTGAGTTGGTTCAAACTTCCATGTTCCATAAGACTTAATGGGTATCACTGCCTCTCAGGATACTTTGTCACACTATCTGGACCAGAGTATGCTCCATGCACATTTGGAAAGAGCTCCCTAGGATGTACATGAGACCACATTTGCCAGATCATACCTCCTGCATTAGGGCACAACAGTGGCTGATGGGAGCTGAAAAAAGCTTGTGTTTATGACTGAAAGCTGTTCCTTTATGATGCTAGAAGGGTGACTACTGCATCCCAGTGATAATATCCAGGGCTATGTCTATCCATTGGACCTCTCTAAGGTTTGGATTGGACAACCAGCACCATCCATCTTCTTTGGAAGACACTGAGCTGTGACGTTGGCACAGACTGGAGTATTGGCTGCTTTTGCTTGTGTATCTCATGCTGAGAAATAACAACTTGGGAATGTTGGGGTTTTTTTCTCCCCTGCGAGTTTTACCCCTGAGGAAAATGCAGTGGAAATCCTTGAAGCT